AAGCTTTGTGAAATTAAATGTTCATTAGTCATTCAAAGATTTGTTTTAATGATATAAATGCGTATTTGCTGAATGCTGACGGCAAACAAGAAAGTATTATAATGTTTGCCTTTCTAATACTAATAATATAAATGCAATCGTTATAATACTTTTTGTATACTTTTTAATTCCTTTTTTTAACCGTTCTATCTGATTATTTCTGTCCGTATTAGACAGAACTGTTAACAAGACAGCGAACAAGAGGGAGAATGTGAGCACTGTGTGCTCAGGCGCTGCCACTCTCAGCGCCGTCAAAATAAAAGTCTCGAACGCCTCGGCCAAACAGGAAAACTTATCGGCCGATGCCGATATTTAAAAAAATGCCAAATATCTGCCTTGGCGATATATCGGTCGACCACTAATAATATGTCTCCTTTAATATTCATAACTCTGTTAATGTTCGGTTTAGGATGGCTTATTACAGTTATTCAGCCAAGTGTAGCTAGCATTATTTTTTTCTCATCAATAGTAAATATTTAATGATCACTAATTTCATATATATATATATATATATATATATATATATATAGTGATATCGCGTTTGGTCTCGTTCTGTATCGCGTATCTTGTCAGTGTCTGCGCTTGCTTGATAAAAGCGTCTGATAAAATAAAAATAAATAAAATATATATATACATATATCATTTAAAGGCCTGGTGAATAGAATAGAATAGAATACAATACAATAGAATAGAAATTTCACATGCTTTTCTGTTGTTGTTTTTGTTATTAATGCAGCAAAAAAAGTTATTGTGGACTTCATGAGCTCCAGAAAACCAGATATTGATCAATTCACTAAATAAACAAATTAATCAATCAGTCAGTCAATCCAATCCATTTTTTTTTGTAAGCCGAACACCTTTGATCTAAAAACATTTACTTGAAGTATCCCTGAGATTTTAAATTAATATTTCAATAATTTAACAACACATCATAATTCTCTGAGGTTGGTTAATGATCACGTCTTTCAGGTCAACAAATAAAATATTTTACATTTTTAGTAAGTTTAAAAAAAAAATTGAATTAATAGCTTTTCATCAACACACAAACCCTAGTTTAAAAATGCTAATCTAGAAGAAAGGCGAACAATTAAAGCAAGTAAAAATTATGCTCACTTAGGCAGCTAGAGAGCTTATTTGGAGTTTTCAGCTATTTTAATCCATTTTTTATATAACTAAATCATTAAGTAAGGTATAAAACAACTGCCACCCTGCAACTTTTCATTGCCCATTAAAAATAAATATATTTCCATAAATCACTACTCAACACATACAGTGCAAAAATTGCTTCCAATCAGCCTTTCTGCAAAAACCTCTCATGAAAAATCAAAATCTCCCTCTAAAGGTCACCCATCCTATTCAGCTCCCTCGTGCACTACAAAGTGAACTCAGTCGTAACCGTGTGCGAGACACCTGTAGGAACTATTGAACTATAGCATTAGACTGTCTTCATCAGGGCAGAAGCGCTTTAACCTCGCACCACCAGCTTTCCACAGTGGAGGATGCGTTCACCTCTAAAGGCTGGTCCTCAGCATCCACTGGCTCTGGCGTTCAGTGAGGGGGGGGAGTGGGGTGGGATCCTGCCGCGTCTGTACCAACCAGAGCGCAAGACATCGCTCCCTCGCTCTGTCTCCATGGAAACGCCAGCCATCCTTGAAATAAACCTGCCGCCGCAAGCCCCCCCCTCTCTGATGTGACTGTGTTTCAATTTGCCTTTGTTTCTGTCTCCCTTCCGCCCCTCTCTCTCTCTCTCTCTCTCTCTGCATCAGTCACTTTCATCTCACCTGTGTTTGTTCTCCCTCAGACCATTTCTCTCTCTTTAACATGTTGTTCACAATTATGTACTGATGTATCTAAATGAATGTAAGTAAAAACCAGGGTTATTGTTGTTAACTAAAACTAAACTATTTTAAATTTTTTTAAAGAAAATTTAAAATTACTTCAATTAAAAAGGTAATTGAACTATAGCTGAATTGAAATAAAATATAAATATTAGGGATGCACCGATACCGATACTGGTATCGGTATCGGGCCCGATACTGAGCTCCTGTACTCGTACTCGTACTCGTTAAAATGCCCCGATACCAAACGCCGATACCACACAGCATGTGATAAGTGCCATATTCAGACAAAGAAACAAAGCACGCTGAGTGGATTGAGAGCGCGGCGGCACAGATGCGCAAGCTTGTCGAGTGAATATACCTTTCTCACAGATATCACTGGAAAGTTTGTAGTTCGGTCGGATATGTAAAAAACAAGTAAGTAAGACAATGCACAAGTTACTTAATAAACTCTGGTCCAGGGATGCTGATGTTGATGTTGGCAGCAAGAGGTAGCTGGATACAGGAGGGATGGCTCAGGTAAGAAGATGCTCTGAATCAGTATACCAATACAGAATGCACATAAATGGAATGATATAAAGCTGGAGGATGTGGATTCTATTTTAGATTGTGATAAACCACATTTATTTTATAATGCATTCAGTCTTCTGTATCCTGAAATAATAAAACTGATTGTAGAAAACACAAGATGTGAAATTTGGTCCAATTCGCTTATGCCATTTTGTATATTACTACTTAGAAAAACATAAAAATGAAACATAATTCAATCAA